AGACAGCATCACCCCGGTGCCCAGCACCCCCAGCCCGGTAAAGCCACCCTTGTCCCCAGCAGCGCTGCGGGGACACCGGCTCCCCAAAGCCATGAGAGAGCACCCGCAGTGCCAACCCCCTGTGCTTTTCCTGGGGGATGATCCCCCTCCCTGCTACACCCGTACTGGGGACGGGAGCAGCCAGCATCACACCGGCATGGTCCTTCACTACCAGCTAGAGAGACATCGTGGGCATAAAAATAGAAGCGAGCCCTGTGGTAACAGCTGTAAGTCTTCAGACCACAGCTCGTCCATCACTTTGAGGTGCCCTGTGACCAAGAGTCACAGCAAATGGCCCCAAGCATTGCTACTGCCTGCTTGGAAGGATCTCCAAATACCTCATAAATTAACTTGCAAACATCAATTAGGCAAGTCTGATAAATGCCGCGTGATCACGGCGGCGATAAAGCCAAGTGGGCTGCGCACCCGGCACGGCACAGGATGCCAAACCAGGAGCACCGGTTCCCACGCTGGCAGCCGAGCCACGGACACCAATACCTGCCCATCCACACCCCCCCCAGCCTGGGGGGACCTCCCCCGAACAAGCCACCCCAGGTAACGGGATGGATGGACCAAGGACAGATGCTAAGAGTCATCTCCACTTGTCTCCTAATTCCTCCCCTGCGCCAAATTCAAGCAGGTGCCTCATCACCTGCAAACAGAGGGGCCAAGAGGCAGGAGGGGGCTGCCGAGGACAGAATGTTGATGACAGTCCCCAGGGCCACCAGCCAAAAGTGACAATAAGGGACTGTGAGCAAGGTTTGAGTCCTCATGGCTATTTTTAATCTTTCAAGCTCATTGGATCACGCCAGGGAGGCTGGAGAGGACCCAACAGTGCAACTCAGGTGTATATATTGATTTTTTTCCAAGCCCCAGGTAAGATGCAGCAGCAGCCGCACACCCCAGTGTGTGGGATAAAAAAAATGCATTTAGCTCAAAAAAATAAATAAAAAAAGCAACTACAGAAATGCGAAAGCAGCTGGGATTGTTACCCAGGGAGACAGGAGGCTCTTCCCCAGGATCAGCATCTCTCACACAGCAGGTCTCAGAGCCAACCGCTCTGACGGGGTGAGAGCTGGCAAGGGGTACCTGGGGGGGGAAGGGGTACATTGGGGGCTGCGGCACAAAAGCCTTCACAAGGTGGAGGGGCTCCGCTGGGAAGGGGAAAGCAGCAGCGAAGGTGCTGGGCAGCCCCGTGCAAGGCCAGGGAGGGTTTTCATAACGCAGGAATCATACGTGTGCGTTCACTGACCAGACGTGCCGAAATTCAAGCCCAAAGGTTGAATCGGGCTGTGCTCATCGGGACCGGGCTGCAAAACCAGGGCCGCTGCCAGCGTTTCGCTTACCGCTGCCTGCGCCCACAGCAGCCCATGGCTGTAGACAGTAGATTTTGAACCCCCAAATAGCTGAAAGCTAAGCAGCACATTCAGGCATACTTGAGGGTTTTTTGAAGAGCTGAAGAAGAACAACTATCGAGCAATTTGAAGATCCCACTGCAGAAGCAGGGGGCTTTGACGGCCCTCAGTGGCTGAGATTGGGCCCCCAGAAACCCTGACTTACACCACTAACTGCATAAAAAGAACCCAAAACGTGCAAGTAAGCCATTTCCCCTGGAAACCGCCTCCCCCTTGACATTCTCAACAGCCAGAAAAATAATACTGACCATAAATGATGACATAACTAATATTACGATTCCTCAGAGGTATATTTTGCAGCGTGATCTTTCAGTTACCAGCGACAGTGAAATTATAATTTAAGACCTATTAATATTTGAAAGACCTTTGTCCATCAGCCAGCCAGCTCTCAATCTTAATCCAGCCGCCGGAGGGCTGAGAGTAGGAAATGTGTCCTTTCACCTTCATTTATTTATAGATGGCAGAAATGAGATCATTATTTCTGCAGCGCCGTTTCACAAAACGTGCCTCTCTGACCTATTTGTATCTGTACAACGCGGCTCTTAAATGTGAGCTGGAGAGTCTGGGCTGGCCCCCATCCCTGCTGCCGCACCCCAGGCTGGCAACACGCAGGGACAAGCCGTCAGTGTCACTGCCAGCCAGCCTGGGGGACAAGGCAGCTTGAAAAGCACGACCGGAGCAGGCTGTGCTGCCAGCCAGCTGCTGGTTTAGAAATTCATAACGCGCCCATCCTCCTTCCGGACCCCGTCACCATCCCCATCCTGCCGCACACGCATGCAGCCAAACATGCACAGCGCATCCCATGTCACGAGTGCGCCCGGACTCAGCCCTCTCCTGGGTGGGGGTAGGAAAGAGGTGGGGAGGGATGGGGTAGGAGTATTGAGGGTCACCTCCAGGTCCCCTTTCCCAGCACACAACATCCCCCACCACCACCACCAAGCATCCTCCTCCAGAAAAATGACAGCGCCCTCCAAAACGCAGCAGCAATGCCACTCTCTTCCTTTCGTGCCCCTTTTTCTGATTATTTTGCCGGGGGTGGGGTGGGGATTTTAAGGCAAAATAATGAAATCTTTAAAATATATGTGCGTATAGATACATATATAAAATTATTTCTTGCATTTTGGCTTTGCTCCTGCTCCACTCTCCCTCCC